TTTTACGACGAGAAAACCGAGGTGTTCAAAATAACCAGCTCAAGGTCATCCAGGTGAAGAGCTGGGACTTTTTATTCTCCCCCCTGGCTTGGCCTCACGTAAGTCACCCACCCCTCATGGAGGCCGCCCCCGAAAGGCCACGGTGACAATCTGCCCGGGAAATCACTTCTCAGCAGCCAGGATCCCAGGAGTGACTGGAGGTAGGGCCTGAATCAGATCAGCAGGGCTGATTGGGGCCTGGGAACCTGCATTGTAAACAAGCACCTCCCTCCACCCCCAGGTAGCTCTTGTTAGGGCTGTTCCTCAGGCCTTCCTCAAAACAGCAGCCTTAGCACTGCACGCATCCAAACGTGTTTGCAGCGCGCCCTCTGAGTCTCAGCAGGGATCGTCTGCCACGTGGCGTTTCCTGAAGACACCACGACATGCAAGGATCCGGCGTCCTCATCAGACATTCTCAACTGGGCGTTTTCTACCTGGTCCCGGAAGCCCCAAGAAGCCCCTCCCAGGGCCAGGCGATTTCCAGAGACAGCAAACAAGTCACCTGAGAGGGCCTTTCACATGCAAACCAGCCAGTTTAGAGCCCACGCCCCAAACCCCTCCTCTGTGGGGCTGTCACACTCCAGGGCAGGGGTGGGGGGGCACCATCCCTGGCCCTCATCACCCCAGGGCCGGGTGGCAGGCAACGAGGGCCAGTATCTCTGGGCCCCATCACTCACACTAGCCCATCCCCAGCCTGCTTACCTGTTCCTTCCCGTGGAAACCGCAGTAAAGGCTCTGGCCCACGTCCCCCCCCTCCCTCTGACTGACCCTGGCGCTTCTCCGTGTTGCCCCGCATGGCATGGGTTTCCTCCCCCTGCCCTTGGGCAATGAAACAAAAACATGTTTTCAGCAGCAGTCATCTCCTGATCTGTAGGCCTCAGCACACCTGAGTAATAATAAAACCTAAGAGAGAATGAACTCCTGCCCCATGATGTTTACATTCCAGGGGAGGGTGTGGGCCACATGCTAGGACAACAGGTGGGTGTGACAATGACGGGATAGGAGGGGAGTGGTCAGGGGAGACCAGAGGAGGAGGCGGGATCTGAGCCCCAACCTGCGAGATGAGAAGGAGCTGTCCGCCTGGTCATGGGCCTGACAGCATGAGGGACATACTGAGTTACTCTCGAGGCCCATTCTAAAGGGTAGATACACACGCGAAGTCATGTAGACAGTGATCTCCGAGCCTGGCTTGCCCATGGCCGCTCAAAGCAACTGTCACTTTACCAACATATGACCTCAGTCTGAGGCTCCTGGGATGGCCGAGGAGGAGGAGGCACTGAGGAGGAGGTCCAGCCTCTCCTGGGCTCTGACCCTGAACCTCTGCTCAGCCTTCCCAGGAGCGGAGTCTGCTTCACTGAGAAGCTGTGACTGGGCGTGTCTGGGTTTGGGGATGCTGTGGCTGTATTTTTTTTAAATCAAATGTCCTTTTTATAACGTTGTGTTTGAAATTATTTGACTAAGAGTAACATGTGCAATTTAAGATTGGCAATCATCGTGCAGGCTTGGGAATTCCTGCAAAGTGAGAAAATTTAACCTAGGAGCTGTTTTGAAATGTAATGATATCTTTATGAATACAAAATTTCAGCAGTTGACGAAGCTGACACATTGTTGTAGATGTAGAGACATTTGATAAGGTATTCATTCCAATTCCTCAGTTTTCTTTCTGGATTTTTGGAGCTGGTAATTTCTTCCGTTCTCCTCTCCGGGCCTCAGAACATTTCATGGGTCTCCTGTAAAGCATGAGCTCCCTAGGCCCTCTGCCTGTGGGTCTCCTGGTGCCTGTCAACATTTATTGAGCACTTCCTGTAAGCAAGGAGCAATTCTGAGCTTTTTATGTGTATTAACTAATTAAATCTTTGCAAAGACCCCCTCTGGTAAATACTATCATGGTTCCCTTCTTCCAGGCAAGAAACCAAAGTAGACAGGAACTATTAACTCCTCATGGGCTGACAGATACGTTGGATTCCAAGCTGTCTCCAGAGCCTACCCCAGAGGCTCTCACTCCTGTGATACCCAACAGCCCCCACCCAGACCTTTAAAACATTTTTATACATTGTGGTAAAATACGCATAGCATAAAATGTACCATCTTAACCATTTTTCAGTGCACAGCTCAGTGGCATTAAGCACATTCACACTGTTGTGTGACTATCCCACTATCCATCTCCAGAACCTCCTCGACTTCCTAAACTGAAACTCCGTCCCCATGAAACACTCCCTCCCCAGCCCCGCCCCCAGCCCCTGGCCCCGTCTACTTCCTGTCTCTGTGGATGTGACTCCACTAGGGACCTCCTGCGAGTGGAATTATATAGTATTTGATCTTCCATGTCTGGCTTATCTCACTGAGCATCACGTCCTCGAGGTTCACCCGAGTTACAGCGTGTGTCAGAATTTCCTTCTTTCTGGAGGTTGAATAATATTCCAGAGTATGGATGGACCACATTTGTTTATCCACACCACTACTCACCCACTAGGATGGCTATTATTAAAAAACAAAAAACAAAAACAAAAACACAAGAATTGGTGAAGCTGAGGAGACACTTGGAACCCTCACGCAGGGCTGGCTAGAATGTAAAATGGAGCAGCCGCTGTGGGAAACTGCCAGTTCCTCAAAATTTAAACGAAGAATTACCATACAGAGCAGGAATCCCACTGCCAGGTATCCACCCCGAACAGAAAACAGGTGTGCAAACACATGCATGCACACTTGTCTTCAGAGCAGCATTAGTCACAGGAGCCAAAAGGTGGAAACCCAAGTGTCCATTAGCAAACTCTTTTTATAATGTAAGTACTTAATTCCACCTCCCCTTTCTCTCCTGAAATAAAAATCAAAGCTAATATAACCTAACTACACACAATTTTTAAAAAACCAACAACCCAACCATATGATGCTCTATCAGATATAAACAAAGGAAAGAAAAGGAAAAGAGTGTGTGATAAATACTAACACAGCCTGTAAGTGCCTGGGCACGAGCCCCAGCCTCGCCGCACAGTGACTGGCTGTGTCGGCCCGTTCAGACGGCTCCCAGCTTGGACAGCAACAGCAGGGGAGGTGTTCAAACTGTGCAGACCTGTTCACAGACATGATGAACCACTCTTGCTAAGGTTCCTGACTAAACAACAAGGTATTTTCCCTCCATTTACCCAGAAGTTGTAGGTTTCTGGAAAAATCTGTATGTATGAAAGCTGAACTGTGTCCTGCCCCCAAATTCACATGTTGAAGTTCTGGCCTCCGGGGCCTCGGGATGTGACTGTGTTTGAAAACAAGGCCTGTACAGAGGTAATCAAGTTAAAATGAGGTCATCAGGGTGGGCCCTAATCCACCATGAAGTTCAGATGCAGGCACACACACTGGACGAGGCAGCGATGCGGTGATGCTTTGACAAGTCAAGGGATGCCAGAGTGCCAGCGACCGCCAGGAGCTGGAGGAGGACCTGGAACAGAGCCCTCCTTGCTGCCTCAGAAGCAGCCGTCCAGCCAGCACCGTGAGCAGCCTCCTGGCCTCAGAACCGGGAGAGGATGTACTTCCATCGTTTCTCGCCACCCAGTCTGTAGTCCTGTGTTACGACAGGCCTGGCAAACCAATGTGCTCTGTACGTCCATGTGCCCCGGAGCCCAGCACCAGGCCCAGCTAGTTAGGAATGGGCTCGTCTCTCCCCACGGGCTGTCCAGTGGGGCCAGCTTGCACTCCCAATGCTCCCGGAGGCCCCTCCGGCCAGCCTGGCAGCGGCATCCCAGTCTGCACATCAGGACATGACTGCCTCGAGAGCAGCTGCTCCGTGATGAGAGATCTGAGGACACGTCTCATCCCTGGCCCGCAGGGTGGGCCAAGTCTGGCCTCTCTTGCCCAACTGCGAACGCCCAGACCCCAATTTCTAGAGCAGCTTGCAGAGTGGAGATAAGGCTCTCCATGCAGGAGAAAAGAGGCCACACTGGCCCCGAGTGCACCATGGAGACGGTGTCCCATCAGCTTGTCATTGGAAAATGACTCTAAAAGCCCCTGCGGTGAGGGAAGCACACAAGGTGTTTATTCAGGCAATTCAAAGACAGGACACGGAGGGCCGGTGCCGGCCTGCCTTTCATGCTCCGGCTTCTGCGGCAAGCTGGGTCGGATTTTCAGATTGCTCTTTTAAAGCTAAACACCCCAGCGGGAACACAGGGGACTCCGGGAGAATTGGCAATTGTTCCAGGGCCTGTGGGGTGGCTGTCCTAGTTACAGAGGGAGGGAATCGAGGTTCCCAGCAGGCGGCACTCGGGTTAACTCTCATCATGCCGGTCGGTACAGGGCTGGAACTCAAGACTCACGGGAAGCAAGCCCTCCCACTTGTCCCCAGGCCCCGTGCAGGCCTCTGGTTCAGTCTTGCAGCCACCATGCAACCCCTTCACGAGACGGGCTGGGCCCTTTCTGCCCCAACATGCCTGTAGCCGCCCAGTCCCCGTTGACATCAGCCCTGCTTGCGCAGCGACGATCCTCCCGAAGGGAGATGCCTCACCCGAAGGGCCTGGATGGAGGGCTTGGGCCAGCACCTCTGGCCAGCCAGAGGCCTCGTCCAGCCATCTTTAATGAGATCGGGCATCAGCAAGCCCACGCCAAGCAGGGACTGCCCCATCCTTGCCCCTCAGCCAGACCGCAAAGCCACCACCACCGCTGGACACCCCCCCCTAGGCACTCCAGCACAAGAAATGAAGTGACTGGTCCAAGGGCCCACAATACACACACCTCTCCCCGCAACCAAGAACTCCTGATTCCTATCCCAGCTCTGCTACCGCCAAGCTCTACGACCTCGGGCAAATATCTGACCCCAGCACCTGTTTCCTCACCTGTAAGATGCGGAGATGGACGCCCCACTTCGCAGGGCGGCTGTGAGAATTCGTAACAGAGGCAGGCCTCCACTACCCAAACACACAGTGGTGCCGCCAGGGGCTGACACCGTGCTCTGTAATCACTGAGACACACACGGGTGCGAACCATAAACTTTTATTAATGGAAAATGGAATGCCTCGTTAACAGAAACCTTGTCTTAAAAATGGCAGAACAAGAACACATTTATTTAAAAACAACAACAAAAAAAGTGAATTCACATTGTATTGAACTACAACATGGTGGCAGGATTTGCTTTGCTTTGTTTTTTTTAAAAGATTCCACAAGTTCAAGGTAACTCTGGCTAAGAGATTCAACAGAACGTCTGTCCGCCTACCAGGACACACGGAGCGGGTGGGGCCTAGTAGCGGCGGGTGAAGTGAGGGTACGGGTGGGGGTGGGGGTGCGGGACTCTGCTGCCCCGGTCCTGGCCGGCCAGTCCTCCGCCGTCCAGGCCTCCGGCGGGCACCACGTGCCCCTGGGAATGCCCGCCATGTGCAAAGCCGCCTCGCCTAGGAACAAAGGCACGCGTTTGGCCCCGCAGCGCCCTGCGCTCTCGTCATGGCGCAGCATGCGGCTCTGCAGCCTTTGGAGCCCCTTGGCTTTTTCCAGGTGAGAAAAACCATAACCACAGATTGCATCCCGGGGAGGCGAAGACTGTTATCTGCGTAAGTTGCCAAGAACTGCTTTGGGGGTTTGTTTTCAAAACATCCGACCCAGCAAGTTGATCAAGCATGCAACAAGGGAGAGAAGTGAGGAGCAGGAACAAACCAGTTTTATCCGCAGGCAAAAACTTCTTACCCCGACATTCCGCCCCGATTTGCCATGTGTCCTGGGCCCGAGGGCCCAGACAGGCCCCTCTCACCACCTGGAAGAGAAGGAAGAGTCTGCCAACACTCCCTTCTTGGAAGTGCCTGGAAATGCTGGGGGCACGCCGGCCCTCTGGCCGCACCTCCCACGGAGTCGGCCCGTACCTTGCCACCGCAAGTGCTCCCGGCCCACCGTGCCCACGTCCACCGTGCCCGGCCAGGGGCGCTCCTGGTGCTCTTCCAGCCTCTGACTGTGCTCCGCCCAGTCACGTCCACCCCTTTGTCAAAACAAAAGACAGACACACGACTGTCCTAGTGTGCCTCTAAGGCGAGCCTGTGGTGTGGGCTGACTGAGTCCCACGGTCAAGTGTTTCTGAGAGAAGTGGGCAAGGAACGGGAACAGACACCCCCCAGAGGTCACATGCAGCCAGCCAGCACATGAGAAGGTGTTCAGCACAGCTAACGTCACAAGCACATGCATGAGATGTGAGATGCCACCTCACTCCCACTAGGACAGCCACTATCAGTCAGTCAACGACAAGCGTTGATGGAGACGCGGAGAAACAGCTGGTGGGAATGTAAAATGGCGCAGCGTGGCTGGAGAACAGTGCAGTGATTCCTTAAAAGGCTAAACAGAGTGACTACATGACCCTGCAAGCCCACTCTTACGTGTCTAACCAAGACCAGGGTAAACATGAATTTATTCAAAACCTTGTACCCATTGCTCTTAGCATGATTCTGTAATAGCCCCAAAGTAGAAACCACTGAAGTGTCTGTCAACTAGTAAACAGAGAAACAAAATGTGCTCCAGCCACACACTGGAATATTCATCAGCCTCGAAGAGGACCAAAGCACTGACACTCGCTACTACATGGATGAACCTTGAAAACAGATGCTCAGTGACAGAGGCCAGACACACAAGGCCACAGAGTGTGTGATTCCATTTACATGAAACGCCCAGAGAAGGCACATCCAGAGAAAGGGAAAGCAGGTTAGCGGTTGCCAGGAGCCAGAGAAGGGGGAGGGACTTTTCTGAGTGATGAAGCTGGCCGTGGGATGCAGGCACAACTCTGTGGACATCCCAAGTGAAATGTACACTTTAAAAGAGTGAACTGTACACATGTGAATTTTATCTCAAAAAAGCTATTTACAAAAAGTTTCTGACAGAAACCCTGGGAGATTAAAATTCAAACACAGTTCCAAAGTGTGGGTGCCAGCAGTCCCCAGAGGCCATCCAGAAGAGCTTCCTGGCCCCAGGCTGCACGTGGAAGGACAAGTGCACTGGCTGCCAGCTGATCAGCACTCATCGACGCCTGGGACCAGGAACCCAGCAGACAACCTCCAACACCTGTCTGCAAGTGTGAGTGCACCCCTGTGCATGCAATGTCTGCCATCAGGTGACAGCCACCCAGCCACACTGGTGACACTGCTCAGCACAGTCTTCTATCCAAGCAGGAGCTCTCCCGTTTAAGGCAAAGCGGACTAAACGACATTAAAGGACCGAGTGCCAAGTAGGTCGATGGGGAGAGAACACTCCATACTAATCTATCAGACTGCACCCCAGTCTTCACTCAACATCTGAAAACCCACTTAAGAGGTGTGGTAGAAACTTCTGGTATCCGTGACTCCAGCCTTAAAAATACCTACAGACCACTTCGAGGGGTGGGGGTAAAGCTTCTCTACAACCGGCGAGGACAAGTGTAAGAAGGGAGCAGGATAGGCTGTCTCCTTCAGTAGGCAGGGCCCATGATGGCGACATTCACACCTAGGGGTGACCCTGGCCACACTGAGCTGGGAGGGGCCATTCTAGGCGACTTGGCAGATGTACAGTCCAGGTTCACTTTTGGAGGCGCCAATCTCTGACCAGCTGAGGACAGACACCTGGCCCCACTGAGGCCTGCCCGCTAACCTGGGTGGAGGCGGTGGCCCCCGGCTCTCACTCATCCTCTTGTCGGAGCCATAGCACCCCCAGCCGTCTCGGGAGTCCCGGCCGTGGCGCTCTGGTGGTCCTCCGTGGCCATGGCGGTCATCTGAGTAGTGCTGGAAGGCACAAAAGGAACAGGGCGACTCTAGCCACATCACTCCTGGACAGGCCTGCAGCAGGCCCACTTTCTGGGTTTTGCCAAACTGCAGACCCTGCCTCGGTGGGCTGAAGTGTGGCTCAGCACCCTCAGCCACCCCAGAGGGCCTGCCCATGCCCCTTCTGATGTTTTCTGATCCCCTCCTCACTTGAGAACCCCAAGTGCCTCTAAAGCTCCATTTCTGGTGCCACACAAAGGGCCAGCAAAGGACCCTCCTGCTCTGTGGGCATGGGGAACCCCACACTTTATGGTCCACGAAGAGTCACTGAGACCCATCTTCCCTGAAGAGTCAGAACACCTGCTCCTTGCTGGTGATGGGGGGGCCCTTCCCACACACCCAGGGCATCCAGTGCCCTCCGACCCCTCTGCACGTCGTTCCTCAGAGGCAGTACAGGCCTCTCGCACTGACACCCAGAGGCAAGGACCACAGGTGGGAATGGTTCAGGACTCCTGGCCAACCAATTTTATTCTGAGAGAGCCAGCACATCTAGGTGGTGAAAAAGACCACATAGTATTCTCTCAAAAACCACATCCCATTTCAAAAAGCCACGATTCTGATGCTGTCTCCCATCTTTCTCATGGAAGCCTCCCCCTGTGTCCATGAGCCAACACACTATTCACTCCTCACAGGGCACCAGACACACAGGGATCCACCCCAGTACCTGACACAGAGAGATGCCCCAAAACACGAACTGAACGACCCCAACAGGCTGCTAAGCCCCGGTTCTACTACACTTAATAAAATGAAGCAAGGATTAGCCCTACGTATTTAAAAACCACACAAACTCACTACCCAGAAAGCTACCGATCATGTGCCAGCCTACTCACTGGCCAGACCTGACGTCTTCCCCCCGCCCCCGCCACACGCAGCAGCAGCGCCAACCCGGGCCTGGTGTCTGGGTTTTACTCACCTGCCCATCTCGCTCTCCCATCACCGACCTTGAACCTTCCCTCCTGCAAAAGGGAAATATCTCATTCCAATGGCAGCTGATGGTTCTATACAACATTTCTGCAGGCCACACGAAAGAGTTCCACAATTGGGGTACTTATCCTCTTTTACCACGTAAGAACTGTAATTTACTGACCTAAAAAAAAAAAGCTGGTTCGCATCTAAACGCTTTTCCCTGGGGGTGGGAGAGAAGTCGGATCCTAAGAAGGTGGTAATGAAGGTTTTACTGAACTACGATCCCTCAGAGGGGTCTCAGAAGTAGAGAGACATACCATGAAACCAATGCCTAATTTATCTGTGGCCTGGTGACAAGCCTGGTAATAAGAAAGCCTCAGAGGGTCCCTAACCTCAGGTCTGACCCAACACACGTGACTCACACCACATCTCAAACCAATTCCAGCCATAATTAATTAAATGAGTGGCTTCTCAGCCCGTCTTTCCCCGTTCTCCCTTCCACTCTGAAAGAGCTAATGAGCAGTGAAACGGCTCATGGATATGCAGCCCAGGGGAGCACGAGAAACCTAAAGAGAGAATTCTTAAACTGGTAAATTGAGAGTGGCCTTTTTAATAAATGATAAAGTCCTCATTTAAAAAAGCACTGGCAAAACACCCACCCAGACCCTCGAAACACGAAGCAGACCTAACAGCACCTTCTCCACATTCCGCAGTCAGCCCTCTCCACAGCGTGCTGGCTCGGAACCTGTGCAGGTCAGGGGCCCTTGCGGATGGCCCAAGCAAGTCGCGCCCTTTCCCTAAACTGCCTCCTCATCTGTACTAATAAGGAGACCGGGCCAGGCCTTCCTCAGAGCGCGTGCTCCATTGGGGCCCAGGCCGCTGGGAGGGAGAGGGAGCAGTGGCTGTGAAACCGACCGGGGCGCGGCGGGTGCCGAGGCTCAGGTCCTGCCCAGGGCCCACTTACCCTCGCTGTGAAGAGGGCAGCACGTGAAACGACCTCTGTGATGCCTGCCTGCTAGACAAGGCGAAGACGCCACAAGTGACCACCGAGTCCAATGTCCTGACTACAGTCTGTTACTAAACCTCACATGTGGCGGCCAGAGGCACTGACTAGGTACCTCGTGAGAGCCCCAGACATTACAAGAACCGACGGAGACTGATCCCTGCCGCAGGAGAGGGGTGGCGCACTGACCTGTCGGCCACATGGTCCTGGTACTGGCCGCGGTCACGATGGTCAAAGTCGTGGAAGCGGTGATCAGGCCGAGGGAAGTCTGGCCGGTATCTGTCCTCCATGGCCATGCGCTTTCCTTCTGGCCAGTAAGTGTCATCTCGCCTATGTTTTATTTTTAAAAGGATGCAAATTTCATTTATGAAAGAGAATGAGGCGAAAAAGAAAGGTCGGAGGTGGGGAGGGGAGCTCTCTCTCCAGACCCAGTATCATTTAAAATGTCCTACAGGGCTAATCTCTAAACATTCAATCATTATCGCTTTGATTTGATAAATTAAAATCCCCCAAACTGCCAAAAGGCATACTGGCATTCTCATCTGACAATCCTGAAAAAAGAACTGCTGTGAGCTAATTGTATCACAAGCCTGTTAATACCTTGATCCCCGCATGAGCTCAAATGCAAGTGAAATGAAATATTTGATTCTGCTGGAATGGCATTGCATGTTGCCACATTTTCACCTTCTTGTCTTCTATGCTAACCTGAACCTCCCTCTGAGTTTTTGCATAAGCAAAGGGAATTAGATCAGGTGATAGCGGACGACATACAACTCAGGATGGTATCCAATTATCTTCTTCGTGATTTTTACCAGAAAATTAGGCTCACAGGTGGTGGGGTAACGGGTGACCATCAATTAAGCAGCTCAGAGAAGCTGAAGACCAATAAACCCACTTTTTGAATGGGAAGGCAATTTCCTTTTCCACAGCGCCAACTCTGTGCCTCTCCCTCTAGCAGGACACACAAGACCGACAGGGGCGGTGGTGAACTCGGTCCAACGCACACTTGGTTGTCTCCTACACACTTAAGAGACAGAGTGGTCACACTCCACCAGGAACCACAGTGCAAATAATGGGACAGCCTAAGTGAAAGCACCGCAAATCCTTCAGCAAGGGGCAGCTCTCAAGATTCTCTGGAGAATAATTCAGCTAGGGAAGCATCTGCACAGCGAGGGAGGTGGGAGCAACTTGTTCTGCAAAGGCCCCCAGAGGCGCCAGATTCCGTCTTAAGCGTCTCCGATTCCCTCACGCTGCGCGGGGCAGGAGCAGAGGCTGTTACCCAGGGAAGCGGAAGCACCACCTCCCCCTGCTCCAGGCCTAACAGCTTGTAACAGCGGGCCGGGCCGGGCGGCCGGGGGCCTTACCGCCCGTCGTCGTAGGGCCGCCTGAGCACCGGCCTCCGCTCCTGCTCGTAGCGCAGCTGCTCCTGCTGGCGCCGCAGCTCCTCGCGCTCGCGGTGGATGCGCTCCTGCTCCTTCCGGCGCTCCCGCTCCACGCGCATGCGCTCGCGCTCCAGCCGCTCGCGCTCCATGCGCTCCCGCTCCAGGCGCTGCCGCTGGCACTCGAGCTGCAGGCGCTCCCGCTGCAGCCGCGCCTTCTCCTTCCGCTCGTGGAAGGCCTCCAAGCGCTGCTCGCGCTCGCGCTGCTCGCGCTCTCTGGGGGAACACAGGAAGGCCACCCTGACTTCCCAATGTGGTGGCGCCCGGCAATCAAGATCAAGGCATCACCCTCCGAAGGAGCCTGTAAACTTCCAGGTGTCAGATGGTAACTGGCTTGGCTGGGCCTGGCTGTCACCTACTGGCTACTAGGCAGCAGGCATGAACCTACTCCCACCAAGCTGCTGGGATCCGCCAGAAACCCCAGTCTCCACACCTTCCCTTTCTCAAAAAAGCAAAGCCAGGAGTGAGCTGGGAAGGAGGCGGGTGATGGCCAGAGCACACAGAGCCTCAGGTCCACACTAGGAGGACTTGGCTCCAAGGCACCAAAACGAAGCCACAGGTTACGAAGGGGGCAGAAAAGTAAGAAACTCAAAGGATGATGGCTACTCTAAAGGCTGCTGGGCATAGAGAAAACCCTGGAGAAACAGATGGCAGGAGCCTTCTCTGAGAAAGGATGGTTAACACTGTACAATGAGCCATCTTTTTCACACCTTCCCTCTGAAAAGGCTGTATCTTTAACAAGCATGTCATTTTGAAGGGACCTAATAAAGTGTTGGGACAGGAGAAGGCCAGGCATGAGCAAAGGGCCCGAGGTCTTGCGTCATCAGCCACTGCACACAAGGAGCCGAGCAGGACTGGGGACGCCCCTCTCTGCATCTGAGCAGAAGAGCCACTGCCTCTCCTCACCCCTCCCCTCCCTCCCTTAGTGCCTAGAAAGGCTCCACACCAAGGGCAAACCAGTCAGGAGCAAAAAATGTCCAAATGGATATCAAGACGCTTCCCGACAGGCTTTTCTCTCTACAGCTACAAGTGCAGAAGCTGAAATCACACTATTTTAGCAAAGCAAACTGGAGCAGTTTCTATATGATCGACTTTTGCTCAAAAAAGTTTCCAAAACACTATGACATGACACTTTCGCTGAGCAGTAGTTGAGGGAAAATGACCAGGGCACAATGGATGTCCCCATGTGACATGGCAGAATGTGAAAGTGGAAATGACAAACTGCTTCAATAAACCATCTCCTGAGCAAAGATGAGAGCGGCCCAGGGGGTCGCTGTGGGGCCGCTTCGGCCTGCAGACACCACAATACACAGACCAGCACACTCCTGGGTCGCTGTGTTAGTAACTTGGCAAGACTGAGGCCTCGACCCTGGGGACCCTTCTATCAAACCCACACGTGGGTGCACTTGCCGCACAGGCCAGGGTGCAACTTCAGCCAGAGGTGATGACCAAGGACCAGGGTGAACCCCCACCTTTCGGTCGCAGGGGAAACAGACTAGGCGGCCAGCGAGCCCAGGCTACACAGGCGACTTGCTCAGGAAGAAGGACAACCATCCCAAGAGGAGACCACCAACCTGCCAGCCCAACTCGGCCCCACTCACCGCCGCCTCTCTGTCTCGCGGATTTCCCGTTCCCGCTGCCTCTGGCGCTCTCGTTCCCTTTGCTCTTTGATTTTATCAAACGACAAGATGTCTCTCTTCTCTTTGCTTTCTGACTTGCGATCCTGACTCTTAGAGCTCTGTTTACCAAAATTGATGTATTAATGTTAGAAAAATGATTACAACAAACGCAAGATGAAAGTTAAGTGTGTGGATCTATCTGGATCAGATGAAGAGTCTTCCACCTCACACGGTTCAGAGACCCCAGTGCAGGCTGCTTCACTCCACACCCGAGTTTCGCTGCCAGTCTTGGTTTCAAATGTGGCAAACAGGGTGTGGGTGGGAGAAGGCGGGATGAAACCCTCAGCACAGGCGTTCTGGAACAGCACAGCCCAGCACTCTGCACTACCTACAGCAAACCCGGCTTCTCAGAGGCACAGGGCTGGCGTGCACGATGCACGGCGGCCCGCCTGTTCAGCGGGGAAGCTGTCAAACCAGCTGTGTGGACAGCTGGATGATGGGCTGCATTTCTCACTTCTCAGCTGTTGGCTCAGGCCTCAGGCAGGTGGTCTCATAACAGAACACTTTTGTGAAATGGCACTCCCAATGCGGTACAACATACTAATTTCTGGGATAAGCCAGGAAATGCTAACGGCTGACTCCCACTTCAGAGGTTCTCAAAGGCTGGGACTCCCCAACTGGCCACAAACTAGACTCTCCTAGGAAGTTTTTACACAGCTCAGAGCCCAGGGCCTCCTGCAGACACTGCCCCAGAGGCTCCAAGGGAGGAGCCGGGGAACATTTCCTAAAAGCTCCTCAGCTTCTTTTCTTCATTAGCTCATAAAGGGGAGAGAACATCAACAAAAGACAAGAAACCCCAAATAAAGATGGGCAAAGGTCATAACCAAATACTAAAAAAAAAAAAAAAAAAAAAAAAGGGAAGGGGACACACAGGACAGCCTCATTACAAGGAAAGATCCACAACCCAAAACATCACAGGAGAGGCAGAGTTTAGAGTCTGATCACACACACTGCAGGCTGGAGCAAGGAAGGACAGACACCCTACGTTCCAAGGTAAGCATGTGACCTAGTGGGGGAGGTAGTGGAGTCCCCAAATCGGATTCCTGGATCTATAACCTGGCCTTGCCACTTACTAGTGGCCTGGTACCTGCTACGCAATGAATGTAAGTATCTTCCAAAAACTTTCTGAAAGGCATTCTGATAGTATCCATCACAACGAATAACGTGCTGGCGGCTTTGGACAAGCAACCCCACCGATGGGCATTTCCCTGTTATAAAGCCTGCCAAGAGGCATGTACACCAATGTTGCAGCAGTTTGCAGTAGATGCGGGAATAACCAAGTGTCTGTCACCAGGGGACTGGTTACAATGATCGCAGTGTTTCCATAAACTGACTAACACGAGCTTTACGAGGAGAAGGACACATGCTACCACCTGGATGGATTTCAGGGACATCATGCTGAGGGAAAAGGCCAATCTCAAGGGGTCACAGTTGATGATTCCATTTATACGCCATGACAACGTGTGGCAATGGAAAACAGGGCTGGTGGGGTGGGCATGACAATAAAGCAGTACTGAAGAGGCCAACTTTGTGCTGATGGACTAGCTCTGTGCCTGGGCCATGGTGGTGGTCACACGAATCTACACTGGTGACAGAACGTCCTGGCACCATACCCCCACCCCAGCTTTGAGACGGCGCTGCACAGTTACAAGAGAGGAACCATCGGGTGAAACCAGGTGATGGGTTCCTGGGACCTCAGTACTCTCTCTCACAACTTCCCGTGAATCTGTAATTATTTCAGAATTTAAACTTCTTTTTAAAAAAAGTAAAAAAGCAGGGCTGTATGCCCCAATACATAAAGCTCCCTGAGACGTACCACGTACAGAGAGGTGCACGGCAGGGCGGTGCTTCAGCCGCGGCGTCTGAGGCGCAGGTGTGTGCGCCGGGGACGGGCCGTCCTCCGAGAGGGGCCGCGAGGAGCCCCGCCAGGCAGGCTGCTGCTTCACGCTGCGTCCTCCTGTACTATCTGTATGTTCTAATCACGTCTGCACTGCTATTTTTTTTTTAACATCAGAGTTACTTGGGTGTTAAGATTTTAGGCCTTTTTGGGTGTTCTTTTCTACATTTCTCTGTATTTCATGATTGTCCTACAGCCCACAGGAAAAACAGCATTAGATCTGCTGCTTTATAGAACTCAAATGTCCATTTCAGAATTAAGTCTTAACACCACAAAGTGTTCTTGGATGAATACTGTTAGCTCTGCACTCACTGAAGGGCACTGCTTTCCTTAACATTTTAGTTGGAACCTTCAGCTGGGATGCACAGGGTTTTGTTTCCCTGGGTAGAAAAAGTAAAATGAGAAGCAACTAGCTTGTCCAGTGGTGTGTACCACGTAAGCAATGGAGCTCCTCTGATTACACGAGACAGTCAGTTTTAGGATGGACTCTACTTTGTTTTTGGTTAATTTAATAGAAAACAAGAAAAACTACTAAGGAAAATGAATAAAGTGCTATTAGATTAATCAAAGAGCAGGACCTGCCTTCCAACTTGAAAAGCCCTGGGTCTTGCTCACTCTGTCCAACTTGTGAATCGGAGAAAGGGAATCACGGGACAAAATGGGCAAAGGGTCAACATGTTTATGGGAAACAAACATGATTAAATACTGTTTTGAAACAAGTTTTAGAACCTAATTCGTGTCTATATGTATAATCTACATAGTTAACAACATGCCTCTTGAGCACTTCACAGAACCCTTAAGATTTTAAAGGTGAAACAACATTGTTTTCATAACGCCAATCAAAGTGGTTGTTAAGCCATCATCAAAAATGGCTGGACTTGTCGGGGAGGGAGACAGCTCAGTGGTAGAGTGCATGCTTTAGCATGCACGAGGTCCTGAGGTCCTGGGTTCAAACCCTGTTAAAATCTTAAAAAAAAAAAAAAAAAAAAAAAAGGCCTGGCAGAAGCAATACTTACTCTCTCTTTTGATCTGCTTGTGGTTTTCACACTAATGACAGGCTCCCCTTTCGATTTATCCATTACAACCGTTCGTTCCATTCCTCTGCTTCCTTCAGGGAAAAACACAGCAACTATGAAAACATGCTGACGCCTCGCTTCCTGACCGCGGGCAGCACTCGGGCTGACAGGGGCTCCCAATGCTTGCTCCACCAAGTGACTGATGCTCAGCTCTGGGGCCTCACACCTCATCTCTCTCTTCACTGGGATACGAAGTCAGCACGGCCGATAGGGCCACATGGGGTTGGAGCGGCTGGCACTCCCTGACAGGCCTCTGCTCATCTAGATTGAAGCGCTGTGATCTGTTTGTATCTTACAGCATAAATGTGAACCAAAGTGCATTCTGCAACACGGGCACAGACAGGCCCAACCTGCAGGCTTCCTTCACCCCCATGCTAAATCCCAGCGCCTCCAAGGAGAACCAACTTCAATTTGTATTCCTCCCACACATCCTGGAGCGCTTGTGCTCTGAGTCAGACACTGCAGCTCTGAGGCCCCCACAAAACGGGTGGGCTCCCCTCATTCATCTACTGCAATAAAGGCTTCCAAACCGACATTCCCCTCAATGACACGATAACCAGGCTCTAACCGCCGGAACAATGACTGACTTAGGGAGATTTACAATACTTGAGGAACGTTTTGAACACACGTTCCTCTTGAGACTGCTGGTAGATTACCCCAAACACTTAAGATGTAGCTTACAATGCGCCGTACCCAATTCCAAAGCTCCAGATGGCTGGGTTTTGTTTCTGTTTCACGGGGCGGGGGTTATGGGGGAACGCGGACTGGTTTTATTTTTTTCCACAAAACATTCTGTGGAATCTCATGCAAATCTGAGGGTGCAGAGCACAATAAAGTGGGTTTTTTTTGGTGCCAAAACCCAGGAACAAAGCAATAAACTTCTGTAAAATAACAATAGAGGTGACGTGCTCCAATGCAACTACTTCAATGGGTACAGAAGTTCTCAGGTTTTAGTTTTCTCCACATTTTTTGCTACATCTGGCTTTAATATAAACACATGAAAAACTGGATCACACGCGTGCAGAACTGCATGGAATTAGTCACAAGAATCAGGACACCTCCTCGCGAGTCCCACACTCTGGTCTGTCAGACTCAGGAAAAGCAAGAACCCAGGTCCCTGAGCCACCAATAAACACAGAACCTGACCAGGAAAACTCCAGACTTCTGTTGTCACAGAGAAACTCCTCTAAGTCATTTCATCACCTGAGGCTCTGTCGCTTTACAGCTTCCTGTGAACAGCACGGCTCAGCCAAGTCACCACGGTGCTGTGCTCACACGCTCCAACCCGAGCCCCGCCGCCGCCACCCCGGCCCGGCACTCCCCTTCTTGCGAACTTGAAGGACTCTCATCACCTGATTTGGTAACTCTGGACCGATTTGTAGGTCCTGCTTTCAGTTCATCTTCGTCCTTTTCTTCCTTTTTAATGTCTTCAGGTTTTTTTTCTTCCTTTTTCTCGATCTTCTCTTCCTTCTTAATTACAGTTCTATTTAAAAACACAGTTATCAGACATGAGTCCCCAAGATTCTAACCCAAGCAGTCTGCACTTACTCAGACTCCCACACGCAACAGACCTGTGCGACGGCAGCGGGAGGGGAAAATCATTTGAAAACCGCAGTACTCAAAATACCCTCTTTAGATACAGCCCCTATTCCCACTTAAGTTACTTGCTACGCCCAGGAACATGCCGGCTCATGGGGTCTTTTTCCAAAATGCTAGATGCACCGCAAACATTCATGAGAAACACTCCACTACACAGGAAAGCCTGCTAAAAGCTAACTTTAAATGTTTCATTTTGTTTGTGTGGACTATTATTTTTAAGTTTTGTAGGGAAAAACGTTTTTTCCAAGTCAGTACAGTATAAAACAGAATGGAGACATAGTATGAGGATGGGCGGTGCCTGCTGTATGACGCAGGGGCCCCTCCCCTCCCCACCCACACACCGCACCCGGTAACTTCTGCACACTCTGGGGGAGGTAAAATGGCATGTGACGTGCTAGAAATGTGGAGACTGTTAGTACATTTCAACTGAAGGCAGTTTTATTCTAAGCAGTGAAATAAATCATTGCTGCCATTCAAAGGTGTCTCCCGTATTCCCTATTGCTGTTTGTCTCAGGCAATTAAACTCCACACTTATTAAATGCCCACTGTGTGCCAGGGTCCAGGACAGAGAAGCCAGGCCTCTCCAGGTCCACTAACCAGCACTTCCTGCCCTCTCTTCCCACCACCCGGGCAGAGCTCTGGAGGCCCAAGTAAACCTCTCCCAGATGCCACTCAGCTCACTCTTCCTCACTCCTCAACTTCCACAGCACAAAGCTGTCATCTTTAAAGTTGTATTTATTTTCAGTAATATTTTATTTTAAAGTAAAAAAAAAAATTGACAGTGTTTACCAGAACTGATCATTGTAAATGTCTTTAACATACTGGTTTCCCTTTAAAAAACAAAACACTGTACACACAGCAGATGTCAGATACACTCATCCCCATGACAACACCACAGTGCCTTCACTGTCGCTCATTTGGCTCCGCCTCTCCTGGCTTTGCGTGCCCCTTCACATGACCATGATGCCCCATGTGACGCTCTACACCTCTTCAGACTGACACAGCTGGACGGGACTGGGGTGCTGCCCTACCACGCCTTCACCTCCTGCTCCACCCGTTAGGCCGCGCGGGCACAGGCACAGACCTGGGTCAGCCCCACCGCTGCCCGACAGCCCACGGTGATTCACCCAGCTCCCTTTTGACAGACTAGAGCCTGTTTCTGGCCCCTCCGTGACTGCAAATAAAGTCACCAGGGATCGTCTCTGACATGCCTCCTCCACAATTCCAGGGCGTTGCCTTCTCCCTCCCTGCAGACCTGAAAAATGTCTTGAAAGGACCCCTCACCCCTCCTACTTGTTCTGCACCCACACGGCACCTCACAGAAGAACTTCTTGATAACACTAAGTTAAAAAGCAATTTCTAAAAAATACATATGTAAGAAAACAGACTAGAGGGATATATACCAAGAAGCATCACCCCTGGGTAGTGGGGTTGTGCCCGATGTGCGTGCGCTTTCCCAGTGGCAACACCATAAAAACCACTACTCATCCGGGCAGCCAAGACAAGCCACCTCTTTGGAAAAGCTCTGTTTCACTCAGGCCGACCACTAAACCTAGAAATTCTTAAAATAAACATCTAATGAAAAAAATAATAAGATTAAAAACAAGTCTTAAAATGCTCAGCCTCCTAGGCAAATCACTCGAAGGCAGTTTGGCTTCAAACATCCTAAGCTCACCCCCAGTGAAGCGCCCCTGCACCAGGGCAGCCACCCCCCAGCCGGCCTCAGGCTGGCGCCTGCCCGACCTTCTGAGCCATCTCTCCTTCCGCAGAGCACGGCCTGCACAGGACTGTTGCAGAGGCTGCAGAAGCCGTCTGACACACGCCAGCTAGCCACTATACCCCCCTTCCTCTTTCTGCAAACATCGCACTTTTGTGATAGAGAATCAATGAACAAAGTGCATCTTGAGACAGAACACCAAGAACTCCCAAGTTCCCCTCGTTCGACCAATACAAGGGTTTAGCACGACTGACAGGACGTGTCTCTTTGGAGAAGTTGTTGGTAAAATTAGTCTCTCTCCTTAATACGCGAAGACTAATCCAACACCCACTTCTCACGGGTTTATACATTCCAGTTTGGCCACAGTGAAGATGGACAATCACATCTTTAAAAACCAAGTTCAGTGTATGAGTATTATGATGCCTACAGGCATGTTTACTATAAATTTTTATGTTAAAAACAACAACAACAACAAAAATGGAATTACTGTGAGACTGACATTCTCAGCAAAGGGTTCAATTTTTAGATGTAAGTGGACCTAGAAATGAAAATAAATTGTGTTGACAATATAAACTTAATGCAGACACTCAGCATTCTGAGAACAGCACCCTATCAGGCTCATCACCAAAGTCCACCTTCTCAAAAAGATAAACCTACGATTTTCATAAAAGTAAAGTAGGGAATGCCCTCTTTGAATGATCTGTCTCTATTTCCATCTCGATTAAAGACATAAATCACCTTCTTTATAAAAATAGCATCTCAGACCTGTGGTTTCAAAACCACTGTGCCAAGGTACACCAGGATGGGCAAACTCACAGTGCCCTGGGATATTTTAAATTTCTGAGGGAAACACAGCAATACTTGACACCTGTCAGACACTGCATGAACTACTAGCTTGACGTCACTCATTTCAATATCAGATCAGGCTACATGCCTTTGGACGCCACTGTATCTTTGCAAAGCTGAGTTTTTACAGTTGCTGTGATAAAAACCAAGAACTGCGTGAAATCAGTCTGGATGAGGAAATGACTCCAAAGTTTGAGAGCCATGTAAGGACTCAGGACGTTAAGAATCAAGTAAAACTACAACTGACCCTCCAACAACGTAGGGATTAGGGCACTGACCCTCCACAGTCGAAAACGCACATGTAATTTTACAACTGGCCCTTCCCACCCACAGTTCCACAGTCGCAGGTCCAGTCAACTGCGGGCCCTATAGAACTTTGTAGTTACTACTAAACATCCCCCATGTGAGTGGATCTATATAGTTCAAACCAGTGCTGTTTAAGGGTCAACTGTGTTAGTTTTTCATTCTGTTATTTTTTTTTTAACAGACCACTAACTTGCTTAGACACAAATAATTATTAAGTGGCAGCAAAATGCAAAAACCACCTGAGATTTAAATGAGGAGCTGGTGAGGCTGTCTATGGGAAGGACACATGCTCGTTTCATGAGTGACCCTGTGGGGGCCGCCTGCCCTCTTCCCAGCCATCTTCTCAAGAGAAAGTTTTTTAAAAAATCACTTTACTTTTCAACTTTGATTTCCACAGAATGATGTCTGTCAACATTCGACAATTTTTCCTTCTTCACTTCACACTCTTTTCTGTCAGACAGCTTTTTCCCAGCAGGTTCATTTTTGGCCTAAAAAAAACACAGATAGATAGCTCAGGGACCAGGTCTTCCAGCTTGCGAGCAACGTGAGTTACCACAGGTAAGAAGGGCCTCACCTTCTCTACAGAGATCATTCTTCCGTGAAGCTCAGTTCTGTGGAGGTGGCTGATACACTTTGTGGCCTCATCGGAGGTGGACATGGTGACAAACCCATAGCACCGAGCCCCGGGACTGCGGGCGTTAGTCACCACTTTGGCCCCGACAACCTTCGTGAGAAAGAAGACTCTTACTTTCTCATACAAATCACATTACATGTCAAAAACTGTTAGAGGTTAACTGATCATTGGAATCATTTTCACGTGCTTTTACTTCTCTGAAAATTATTGTTGCTCATAATTAGTTATTAAAGTGGTTCTAATTAACCCTGGCCTATCAAAATACAATTGCTTTTGATACAAGATCAGCCCTCACAGTGACAAAATACAAACAAGAAAAACTAAAGACAGTTAAACTTCACTAACACAGCTTGTTAATTAACCAAAAGTCCTTCCCACTTGGATCTTTCCAATTCCACCACACCCACTGATAGCTTCGGGGGTATCTACTCAGAAATGCATGCCAATCCATGCAGGCCCAGGTGGAGAACAGCTCTGACACCGGTGCAGAGAGGGCTTCCGCGTCAAGCCAGAAAGGAGCACCGAGAATTTACTGTCCTACTACCTCAAATAAAAACCCAGAGGAAATGTGGGCAACAAGGGTCTGCAGACACTGAGCAAGAGGCCGCACAGGATGGTGAGCCCTGCCAGGGGGGAACACACAAGGCCTGTCTCCTGTGACTGCTCCAGCGCACTGCCTAGAAACTCCAACCAGGGGCAGGGAGGAAGAAGTGAGGGGCAACGCCCCTAAGCTGAGCAGACTGAGCTCAGAGTCTGGGGAGATGAAGGCAGCGAGCAATCAGAGCACCAGAGAGGAGAGGGCTGCACAAAGGCGATCCAAACAGGGGTGGTCCCGACCAGACCACTTGTGTGAGGCGACCACCCAGGCTAGGGAGTCCCACGGGGAAGGGGCAGAGGGAAGTCAATTCCCAGGGCTCACTCAGGGCCACAAAGGGCTCACTGTGGGAGGGGTCCACCAGCCGGGGGGCACCAAGCACAGTCCTCAGAAAGGCACCGTCTCGGGAGCGGACAAAGCCGGCCCCGAGCTGACGGCTGCCCTGGCCCAACCGACCAAGCCCAGCAGTAAGCCTCACAAGGAGCAAGTGACTGAACTGCACCCCAGCAGAAGCTCAAAGACGTTTACAGGCACAGAGGAAGGGCTGGCACCCCACAAGGTAAAAGCCATATCACCTGGCATCCCATCAAAAACCACTAGGCTAGCCAAGAAGCAGGAAAATAGGGCTCTTTTATTTTTAATGGAGGTACTAGGATTGAACCAGGATGCTAGGCACATGCTCTACCACTGAGCTATACCCTCCTCCCAGGAAAGTATGGCTTTAGCAAAGAAAAACAGTCACTAGAAAGGACACAGTGACAGAATCAGTGGGCAAGGAGAGCCACAGCCTGTATGTTCAAGAAGGCAGAGCAGCAAGTGAGCATATCAGGTAAGCACATGGAAGATACTTCAAACTTCTAAAACAGACACTAGATGGGACTCACACAGACATGGCAGAAGAAAAAATGAGGGAACTTGAAGACATAGTAAGAGGAACCATTCAAAATGAAACTGATAAAAAAAGATGGAAAAAAACAAACGAACCAGAGCAACAGCAACCTGTGCAACAACCTGCAGAGTCCTCACCGGCAACGAGCACAGGAAAAAGCAAATGAAACCAAAGCACAGCAGCAGCATCTGCTCCAAACCCGCAGTCAAGAGAACATCCCGACAGCAGCCAAAGACAAGACGCATGTCCACCAAGGAGCAAAGATGAGAGGACGGCCAGCCCACTGGAGACGACACAAGCCACGAGGAGCGGAGCGGCTGTGCAACCTAGGAGGAAACTGGCCAGCCCTGACTTCTACACGCAGCCGAACAAAGGCAAGGAACAACTCTCTCAGACACAGCAAAAGCCGCAGGAAATCATCATCGCTAACCCTGCACCACCAGGTATGTTTAAGGAGGGAGGAGAATGATACCCACGGGGAACCTGGATATACAAAAAGGAAAAAGAACAGCCCTAAATGGTAAACACACGTGGGTAATTAAAAACCCATGTTCTTTTTCTTTAAAGAAACAAAACACACACACACACAGCTAATAATACACTGTGTGCCTGGTTAAACAGAAGTAACACGTAGAATGGTAACATCACAAAGGCCGGGAGGGTGCTGCCGTCGGGCTCCTTTACCATCCGGGAACTGGCGTAACGTCACAGGGAGCGGGGAGGAGGGTCTAGCTCAGGGGTAGAGCCTGTGCTTAGCATGCACGAGGTCCTGGGTTCAATCCCCAGCACCTCCACCAATCAATCAATCAATCTATCTATCAACCAATCTAATTACCATCCCCCCCAAATTGGTTAGAAAAATAAAAACTAAAAAAAAAGTGGACATTAAATATACTGAATACCTTGAAACAAAACAAAACTGGAAATACAACATACCAAAACTTATGAGATGCAGCAAAAGCAGTTCTAAGGGGGAAGTTCACAGCGATAAATGCCTACGTCAAGAAACAAGAAAAATCTCCAATAAATAATCCAACTGTACGCCTCAAAGAACTAGAATATAAACTAGTTATATATATCAGATATAGCTAATAAACTACAGATAATCATAAGAAACACACCATGCAAAATCAAGCAGATCAACAGGTACAAGGAATCCAGGAAGAAACAGGACAGATACAAAACACAGAGCAAGACCAGACTTAAACCTCACAATACCAGTGCGTGTTACATGCCAATGTTCCCGCAGGACAGGCAAAGAGCCTGACACACAGGAGCCCTGGCTCTGACCCCCCGACTTGGTAGGTCAATGTGAACAGACCATCTTCTCTCTCTGGACCTCAGTGTTCCCTAACTGTGAGATACGGAGTGGGATCCATGCTCTCCAAGGTCCCAGCAGGGCCTGATGCACGTGTTTCTGCCTGCAGGGATGGAGGAGCCCCGCTCTGCCTGCGGAGGAAAGCCCCGATCTGCCCAAAGCACCCCATACAGAGCCAAGGGTGGGTGACAGAGCCTCTGCTGACAGGGACACAGATGTCAGTTCACATCAGAGAGGAACCTTCACATTCTTCCCTCTCAAGGCCAGGGGGCTAAGCCCAAAAGGGGCCATTTGACCTTTCCATCAAACTCATTCTCCTTGCAAATGCATCACTTCCTATGACAGACAAACCCAAGTGAGAGCAGCTACCACAGAAAGCTTACGTGCCCCGTCATCCCACCCCCGCCCTCCAGCTCCTCACAGAAGCCTGTCAGTTCATCTACTTCCAGACATTTGTCCCACCACGGGGCCTTTCTAAGTCTGGATGTTTTGGTCCAGATCTGAGCTCTGATGCAAACTCTCATAATTCAGCCTTTGACCTAAATGTCACTTCCTCAGCAATGTCTGCTGAACCCACCTCCCAATTATAAATTAGGTCTTCCAACCATACACTGATGGCACGCTGTAATTTCCTTTAATACACTTATTGCAACACGTGGTATGTATTTATTTCTTAAATAACCTTCCCCCAGATGTAAGGTCTATGGTGACAGTGCCCTTGTATCCATTTGCTTCAGCTTGAGACTCAGTCCCTGATTCTAAATAAGCAAACTAATAGGTTTTGGCTTAGTAGTGTTCTAAGCACTTTGGAACGCTTCTATGGGGTCCTGTCTGCCCAAGTCCTTAATGTGTTCACCAACACCTGATCAGGTGACACAGACCTGAGCAGAGGAATGGCCTGGGTAGCCAGGATGACACAGCTGCCAAACCTCTGTCTGGGACGCCTGGAACTTCCTGATGCTGAGCGGTTCCACGCCTACTTCTCTCCCGGAGGGCCAGCCCACAGGCACCCAGAAGACCAGGTCACTATAACTTATGGTGAGACTGTTTCACTACCTAATTTCAAGACAAGAATCATTCTTAAATATTCCTTGGAAGGCTTTCAAATTGTATTACTTTCCTCCTGCCTCTGCCACCAGCATATTAGCTGATTTATTTTTAAGCCACTGTCCTGTGCCAATTCTCAAACTGTATACTTATGATGCTAGAAGACATATAGGAGCCAACTCTCCACTTACTATCAAGGAAAAAGTACAGACTGTCAGGTTTAAGTTTTGAATTTGCCTGAAGATAGTTTCTTCAAGAGAAGCTAGAAAGAACAGCGGGGCATCCACACCATAGCTTTCCTACACCTCTTCTGAGCAGCAGTCTAGCGCTCGATGAGCTCCACGTGTCATCCACTCCCGGCCGGAAACCAGGCTTACCACCCAAACTGGGTGGGCTCAACCCTCGGACCTTTCTGTTGTTCTTCTGCTTGTTTTCCCCCAACCAGAAACAAGAACCAGTAAAACTAACAAAGCAAGAATTAAGTTTCTAAACTCTTATTTTTTAACGCCAAATCAAGGCGAGGTGGCAGGATGTAAGGGGGGGGCATACCTTTCCATATTTGCTGAAAAGGTTCTTCAGGTCTGTTGCTCGAGTTGTGGAAGACAGCCCACTGACCCACAGATTCCTACCGGAACCGCTGCCGACACGACCTGAGGCAGGAGGCAGACGGTTATGCTTTGTCTCAGGGCATAACAGCAAGCAAGACTGCAGCTCTTTCTTAAACCCTAACTAATTCCAATCTTGACTCTTGATTCAAGAACTTAATTACTGCCAACACACGAACAGAAGACGAAAAAGCTGGACCACAGAAGCTGAGTCTCCTCACTTGAGGAATAATCACATCCATGTCAGTCAGAAACTGAAATGTCTTTCAATGATCAGTTTTCAACCAAAATAGCAGTTTCTAAAACTGTATTTTTCAATGAGTAGAAATATTCCTGTCCTGTAACAGGACTTTCATTACTCCATAAATGACAATCACACAGTCACAATAAAGATACAAAGTACAGAAGCTCACTAACATTTAAAACTAGTCTCCTGAGATACCAATAGATAATTAACTCCAGTAATCCATAATAAAACCAACTACTGGATCCAAAATGTGGACACCCGCAGGCCCCTCCCTCCCAAAACAAGGGATCCTTAGGTGGTTCCTGCCACCTAAGTTAAATCATACCTTTTTCATCTTTAATGATTGGCTTTATATCTTTTTCTTCCTTAAAAGAGCTAGAGACAAAAGTTAATGTTACTCATACACGAAAAAAACGAAAGAGAACTAAATCAAAAGTATGGTATGTGCTAAAACTGAATACCTACCAGAAAATTAGTCTGAAATAAAATTTTAACAGGCACCTTTGCAAACTTATACTGAAAATCTGACCCCCCAAATACAACATCAGATTCTTAAAAGTCAATTCGATTTAGCTGAAGGGAACACTTAACAATTTAAAAGCACAACCATAGTAGGTTGAGAAAAACAAAAGGAATTGAAATCACCCATTAAAGATACACAAAGA